GTCCTGGTTGGGATTCAGGCTGAGGTCCCTATTGCTGCAAGGCAGAAGTGCTAATCTTTGAAGCACTGTTTTAACACTTTAACATTTCAAAATGTATTTTTTTTTTTAATGCATTTTCTAAGGAGAGTGGTAATCTTCTGTGTTAATAGGCCTAACACACTGCTACATTAGAATCTATGCTAGATGCGCTTTTTCAAAAAGCTGCTTGGATTCATGAACAGTGTCATTATTAGAATATATATCGGATATATTTAACTGCACCTTAAACTACACAAATGTGAGTAGGGTCAAAAAAAATAGCATAAGGCCTCATTCACATGGCTCACTACTTGCAGGCTGTGTTTTGCTGGCACGGGGAGGCCCAGGTGTTGCATGCATCCACATGCCAACAGTCCATAGATATCTTTTGGGACACGCGGGCTGCATGGACATGCACGGATGTGATACTGGGCCACAGCGGCTGTGTCTTTGTAGCCATGTGTACCATTAGACATTTGTGGGTTGCCGGCAACACCTGTTCAAAATGGGGCCTGCAAGTAATCGGCCATGTGAATAAGACCTTATGGACCAGGCATCCATGCAGGTTTCTGCAGGAAACTCCCTACACCGAACTGCAAGTAGTGAGAGCAATTAATCTGTCTGAAGCCTGCTATTTGAGGCACTTTCTGAAGCCTTTTGATTTGTAGTTCACTTTTGTGCATATGATTAATTTGAGAAATTGAAAGATACATGTGAGTGCTGTTATGTCAGAAAATCAAAGTGTTTGTAAAGGCAGAAGGTTTTTCGCCTTTATGCATTCTATATATGAAGGTAAAAAACTTTCTGCATGTAGCTTCCCCTTCGCCCTTATACTGAGCCTGATCTCAACCCAGTGATGTGCACAAGAGCAGAGGCTCTCTTCCTCCTCATTGGGTCAGACACAGCAGAGGGACCCATTGGCTCCAGCTATGGTCAGTGTCATCCAGCCAGGAGGGGGTTGGGCCAAAACTATTGCACAGAGAAGGTAAGTATAATATCTTTGTTTATTTTAAAAAAAATCTGTTTTTACAATAACTTGGAAGTATTCAGTCACTTCTTAGAGGGCTTTCCCCTCATTTCTACACTTCTTGCATAGTCTTCATCCCTCAGACCAGCCATGCTTATGCAGTGTGAATAGCAGTGCTAGGCAGAGTTGCTTCTACTGCAGGAACTCACTTGTCACTTTATTTCTGTTTTGTAGCAAGATTATAGAAAAGATGGCCGGGGTCAGGGGGTGAGAATCTTGTCTCTACAGCATTTACCATGATGCTGTCACCTCATTTTATTGAAGTTTCAGGCTTTATATGACTGCACCAGTATGCTGCTTGATGCAGTAAGGTTTATATGTGTGTAAAGGAAGACAGATAGAAAGCAGCGGGAGTTCCCCTCCTGTTCTTGGCTGTCTCCCAACAGTTCAGCACTAAATCTTTCCGCAGAGTCTTGGAAGTCGTTACACAGCAGTCTGAATGTGCTGTGGGTGCACTAATCCTAATGATTGTGTGCAGCTGAGAATGGAAAATGTTTGTGTCTTCCCAGGGAAATCCAACATTACTGTTTCAAATCAGCTAATGTACTAGAGGATATATTCCAATGCTACTTAACCCTTTTCCTAGCAGTTTCCTGTATTTTGTTTGCCTGGTGTTACACACATTCGGTATATCAGCCTGTGCTGCCAGATCAAGACTGCGATAAATTTGTACAGTGCATTGAAAAAGTATTCATACCCCTTGAAATTTTCCATATTTTGTCATGTTACAACCAAAAACGTAAATGTGTTTTATGGGATTGACCAGGGGTCTCCAAAACTATGGCCCTCCAGGTGTTGAACTGCAAGTCCCATGAGGTCTTGGAAGACTCTGACAGTCACAGGCAAGACTCGCAGAGGCATGATGGGACTTGTAGTACTTCAACAGCTGGAGGGCCACAGTTTGGAGAGCTCTGCAACAGACCAACACAAAGTGGCACATAAATGTGAAGTGGAAGGAAAATTATAAATGGTTTTCAAAAGTGTAACGTGCATTTGTATTCAGTGTATCATCCCCCTTTACTCTGATACCCCTAACTAAAATCTAGTAGAACCGATTGCCTTCAGAAGTCACCTAATTAATACATAGAGTCCATCTGTGTGTAATTTAATCTCAGTATAAATACAGCAGTTCTGTGAAGTTTTCAGAGGTTTTTTAGAGAACATTTGTGAACAAACAGCATTATAAATTCCAAGGAGCACATCAGATAGGTCAGGGATATACTTGTGGAGAAGCAGAGTTAGGTTATAAAAAAAAATATTCCAAACTTTGAACATCTCACGGAGATCCGTTAAATCCATCATCCGAAAATGGAAAGAGTATGGTTGTAATATGACAAAATGCGGAAAATTTCAAGGGCTATGAATACTTTTTCAAGGCACTGTATTAGGGTAAAATCATTGTTTCTCGCCCAGTTGATTTTCACACACTGATTTTGGGACACCAATAAACCAACACCTCTGTTATTAATGTATTCATTTATTTGTAAGAAAGTCCACAAACTGACATTCATCTCTAAGAAAAATGATAGACCTATTGATTTACTTTTTTTTTTAAACAAATATTTATTGAAATGGCAGCTTGTAACAGAAAAAGTTAACGGAAGCATACCTGTGTTATTATGTTGGTGTACTGAGCTGTCAAACCTATAGGAAATTCCTATGCTTTCGGGGATAATCGTATGTCCTTTATATTGGTTTAGGACGAGTTTAATGTACATTCTTGTTGGCTTGTATATGTGAATAGCAGCAAATTGGCACCATGTATATCAAAACTAATAATCAAAAAATGCCACTCAATATAAATAATCAAAAACATACAAAATCCAAAAAAAAACCAAATATCAAAATATGTCCAATTCTAAAGTCCAAAACTTATAACCCAGGTGTTTGTAGTTGTCATATATGTGATTCCACACAGTAATCTCAATATTAGAGCCTCCCACAGGCTTGCACGATCAAAATCGCCTAAAAAAAAAAAAAAACACAGTGCATTATCCTTTTATATAAATAAACTGAGTGAATGCACTCCACAAAAAACACACTTGTGAATCCTCTATAGTGGTTAGAGTGCAAGTGTATAAGTGAAACATGCATTGTGCCACCCAGGTGAAAAACCGTGTTCACTTCTATTAAAGTAAGGAATAAATCCCCTTACCAGAGCAACAAAATAATTAAGCCTTATCCAAATATGGATGGAAGTTCTATAGCCCTTGAAAGGATCCTTATGGTTATCCCTCTCTCCTTCGATCCTCAGGATCCATCAGCAAGTCAGCTCCATACTCCTTACACCATACTCCACCAAATTGCCAAAATATATGGGGAATATAATAGTGTAATACCGCCACTGTACCATGTAATATCTTTATTCAGTGTACTCACAATATGCACGCCTTAAAACCGCATTGATCCAGTAATATCAGACCTTTTAACAATCCTCTGCAATCTCCAGATAGTTTGGTGTGTTTTGGTACTACTAAAATGGCCGCCGTCCCACTTCCGGTGCTCTCTTGCCTTTCAGCAATCCTCTGCAGTCTCCAGATTGTTTGGTGTGTTTTGGCACTACTAAAATGGCCGCCGCCTCACTTCCGGTTCTCGTGTGCGTCTGACGTCACTTCTCTTTGACGTGTTTCGTCATCCTGCTTAGTCATAAAGGATACAGGCATCAGACAAGAAGGTTCCATTTATACTCCTCCTCCCACAGGCACCATGACCAAAGTCATGATATTGGAGATGGGAGAACTGCCAGTAAAATTATATATATTATACCGGGAGTACTAAACTAACGGGAAATGCCTAAACTACGTATATCAGTTTCCCTACTACACATGAGCAGTCTATATTGACTAAATTGTCTAAATGCATGTAAACATGTCTAAACACTAGGTGCGATTACCACTTGGGCATTCATTAATTTCAGTGGCCACAAGAAATTACTATTCTTGGCAGTTAAATGAATGAAGTCCCAAATGTTTAATGTGCTTGAATGCTTCTAAAAGATTTGAAAAGTGCAGCTGTAGGCACGTTGTTCCATCAGAAAAAAAGTGTTCAGATAAAGCATAGTGTGCATGAGACCTAAATCCACTCCAGCTTGTAATAAAAGCTACTCCAAATATACTATTTGGCAAGTTTCCTTTAGGCCCAATGCTGAATGTTATACTTCCTGTGATGGATGCAAAACAATATAAAAAACACAAATATTCCAAATAAGTACGTTTTTCTTTCCTTTTTCTTTCTGTTATCTGTATATTAATTTGTAGATACTTTGTAAGCCCTCATTCACATGGACACAGTCCGGTCTGTTCAGCAGGGAAGCCGTGAACAGATTCCCCACTGATTGGGGCTGAAATCAGATTTTTCTGTTGAATCCATGTGCAACCAAATGTTAAAATCCAACTACCACCAAGTCATCACATTTAGACCTAGACTGCCTCTAACATAAACTAACACAAGTCCATTTACAACTGATTGCTCATAGACTTAGGCTAGGTTTAAACCTATGCAGTTTGTGTTTGATCCGTTTCTGCAGTGCATTTTGGGGTGCGTTTGAGATTTTGTACATGCGTTTTTGCTGCCTTTTTGCCATGTTTTTGATGCGTTATGCGGTTTGTTTTTTTAACTTGTTGCTGAGCAGATTAAAATGCATCAAAAAGGCACTACATGCTTTTGTGCAGTGTCTCCATTTAAGTGTATAGAGCCAAAAATGCAATATTTTGTGTTTAAAAAAAAAATGCATCGGGTGAAAACGCGGAGATGAGAACCTGTCCCATAGCAAATCATGTTAAATGGACTGCTGTGCATTTGCAGAAAACGCATAGGTGTAAACCTAGATTTAGATGGAGCTTCTGATCAGGTCTGCCTGAAAAACTGACAGGGAAAATAAAAGGGGCTGAATTCAGTGTGGATATAGAAACAGAATTTCCTGTAAGTAATCCTTTATATGTTTGTGTTTTTACAGGGTCTTTTGCCCCCACCCACTGCCACAAAGGGAAACAACTTTGCAGCATCTCATGAAGAGGAGATGGAAGTGGATGAGCAAATGCCACAAGGAACTGATGGAGGGGAGATGGTGACACAAGCAAATGCAACAGAATTGCCCACTGATACTGTGAACAGAGTAGGGGCTGGATCAGGTAGACTTTCTGCTGAGGCTGATAAGATTGAGAGAGATGATTCCAAGAAAGAACAAGAAGTACAGAAAACAGATGTGGAGTCCAAACACAACATAGAAGAGAAAAAGGTATTTTGCCCTGTAAATATAACTAAGACAGGATCTGTGGATGGGGAGCCAGTGCCCCAAACAGAGCTGAAGTCTATGGAAACTGAAGGAGCAACTGCCCAAATGGACAGCAGTAATGGCGACCCTGCAGAGGAGGATGTGGAACATCAGAGGATGCCGGACCATCCTGGTAGAGACAGTGACAGTGAATACAGTGAGAATGAGGGGCCAGAGGACTAATGTAGTATTTTAAACCAATCTTCCACAGCTATAAGATTTCCAGTGGGGAAGTGTGGTCACTGTCTGTGTACATTTCCTTAAGGACATCTTTACTACAAGGACAGGATAAGGGCAGACACGCTGGCATTTCGGGTTTATAGTATATAATCTGCACTATTTATTGGTATATTCTGTCCCCATTTATAGTCACTAAAAACGTTTTCACAGTATATAATTAGCAGTGAAAGACATTGGTTAATCATTAGACGGCTGCAGATATGGGCTGTGTAGGATTTCTTGGTTTGTGGATTCTACTCTCAACTCATTTCATCTCCTTAAAGCAGTGGGCATACTCCCAGCTTGTGTTCAGGAAGTATGCAGTTTATAAATGAGCAGTACAACACACAGTGTACAAGTATCATGAGAGGATGCTCTACCTTACTGCTAGGTTTTTTCTCCCAAAGAATTCATTAATGCAGTTTGACTGTAGAATTCCTGCATGTTGCAGGGAATGGGGAAGATTGTTGTTCACAATGAATTTCTTAAGGTCCACCCAAATTATGAAAACATTTTTGTAAACTTTGTTTTAATAAAAAGAAAAAGAAAAGTCATTTGTTTCTAATTGTATTAAATTGGTGTTGACTGAAGCTTTTTTGGTGGTATTACATACTCTGCTGGCATAATGAATCAGATGTTTCAGGGCTAAGTGACTGACCTGGAACAATTATGTTGGTCAGGAGTTTTAGCTTTTCTGGTCAATATGCTATGCGATTCTTGAAGTCACTGGGGAAGGCTGTAAACAAGGAACCAGGTATTTTCAGAAGGAGGTTGGTAGTGGCAGCGGCAGCCTTAGTATTTTTCTCAGTAGTTTTCTGCTAGGTTCGCACTCCTGCAGCCTGTGTTCCCTTTGGAGGCAGCCCATTCAATTCTGTGGGCTGCCCTACCCAGAGAAACACAAGGAAAGTACCACCTAACCCTTTTTTTAAAATCGCATTGCACCATGCAGTTTGGTGTGTGCGTGTGACAGGCTTGTCCCACAAGCCCATATATCAGCCAACCTCCTGGCTTGCTTCCAGGAGCTTGGTCTGCAACTACCGCCTGACCTGCTTAGTCAATCAGGCACTCATTGACCATCAGGGGGCTAGGCCTTCCCAACAGAATGCAAAGAACAGAGGTATTACTCAGGCAAACAATCCAGATCAGTCCACGACAGCTGCAGGATCTGGCCCGCCACCGGACACGATGCAACAGGAAGAAGTGTCAGCCGCACACTGGAGGATTGATGAATAATAGTGTATATTTATTGGTCCATAGGACGCACAGAACACGAGGACATGAATACAGCACCTGTTAATGCGTTTCACACGATCTCGTGCTTAACTCCTTGATGCTGAACGCACACAAATATGCAGCCTCTCGGCATCTGGGCCTTGACGCCGAGTGGCTGCATATTTGCATGCAAGTATAAAATACATATGTGCTGAGAGTGCGCGCTCCTAGCACATATGTCCGTGACTCACGGAAAGGTCCCGATCTCCCCTTTCGATCGGGACCTTTTCCGATCATGTGATGGCAAATCACGGCAGTCACATGACCCTGAAACCCCCCCGCCCACCTCCCGAAACTCTTAAAGGGCCGGGAGGCACCAGCGCAAAGTGGTTAATCATAACCAAGTTATGCGGCTGACCCTGTTCCCTTCCAACAGCAGACTCCATCTCCTCTTCCCAGCAGGAGCAGGCCACTATCTGGACTTTGGGGAATGTTGTCTCCTTGTCTAGCCACAGGGAACCAACAAATGCCGCCTTGCTGTTTAGTTTCTTATTGCTTATGATCAAATTGCTCTCCATGATTCGCCTGTATACCTGTATTAGCTATGTTGGGACGAGATACTGTGATGGGGGCAGTGGCCCTCATATAGATGCATGTTTGCATATCTATACCTATGATGAGTGAGTAGGGAGCTTGTGTGTGCATGGGGGCTGTTTGTTTTCCCTTCTCCCTGCCCTCCTGGCTTGGTCTCCCTCCAAGCATCTGCCTCCCAAGCCTAGATTTGACTGCAACTTGTTTAGGAAACCAGGCCCTCTAGAGCTTTTTTGCTACTGTTAATGTTATGTTTGCGCAATCTCTCCTGAGGCTTTTTTGTGCCCCTGAACTTTGTAAATAATCAACACAAGAGGTTGTAGCTTACAGTTGGTGTTTTCTCTTTTTATAATTCATTTAGTAAACTTAAGGCCTGCCTCACACCCAACCTCCCTCTCCACCCTGTATTTGACTGGGGATGCTTCTGCCTATGCCCTGCTGATAATGCAGTGTTTGTTTTTTTTATTTCTTGATGGGAACCTTACTTCCTGATTCTTTCCTTTTTGCTGCCCTCCCACACCCCTATAGTGTTTGTTGCATTATCGCTGTTGATTGGGCCTGAGGCACTCCTACCCTACCATGGCTTATCTTTTTTTTTTTTTTCATGTATCCACCCAATGGGGCAACATAGAAATTTACCTGAGTTAGTGCCATCTTGCCTCAATTGGGGAGTTGCTATTAGGGTGGATTCATCTGCTTTGTTTTCTGTGTAATTTTGGTCTCTGGCTTGTCTCTATGTATTCTTTTACCTGGTCTCCCTTCCTGCCCCCTTCTCCATGCCCCTTTCTCTCCCGTCATCTCTGCCATGATTTGGTCCGTTCTCTAGGTCGCAATCCCTGACAGGCCCCTTTGCATTAACCTTATCCCAACCTTATCCAAGAATCAGAGGAGACTGGTGGGGTTTGTGTTTCTGGCAGCCCTTCAAACTCTGGCCTGGGCTTGGAGACAGCCTTTTCTTAATGTTGGTGAAGTAAAGCAGAGGCTCATGGGCACTATAGTGCATGAGAAGCTCACTTCAGTCTTGGAAGATAGACTATAACGCTCAGGCGAATATTGACTTACCTTGCCTTCTTTGAGGCCTACTGGTTGGACCACTTGGGTTCCCTCCTCTTCTCCTTCCTTCCTTATTTTATTCTCTGTCCCAGGCAAGTGTTTTCACTCCCCAGTCCTCCCTCATCTCTTTCCCTCCTCCTCTTTCTTCATAGCACATCTGTTCTCCTTTTTTTAGTTGCCCAACGAGGCAATCAGAGGTGCCAGTGAAAAGTAGACTTCCCCATAACTGGGATACCGTTTTTAAAACTCCTTATGATTCCTATATTTATCATTTCATGACTTTTATTGTTGGTAATTGCTATGCCTTTGCTACTACAATGTACCTTATCTTGTGAATGCCTTGCCTTACCTTATATTTGTGTACCTTCACAAAGTTGCTTCTTTTTGTTTGCAGCCTTTTTGTTGTTTCTTAAGAAAAATTAAAAGAAGAAAAACCTTAAATCCTTTGTAAAAAGAATTAATGGCATCCCCACGCATCTGCTAAGGTGTGCGTGTTTCCCAGCTGCAGAGATGTGAACCTAGCCTTATAGTGACAATCACATCTAAACAATGGTACATAAAACATTCAAACCTTTAAGGAGAATGCATGGGTTACTACACAGGAATAATGAATACAGGTCACCCCTGGGGTGGTCAGCTAAGAGCTCCACACACTGAGGTTATACCAGGCTTTAGATCATATTGTATTTTATGCTCAAGCCTAATTGCATATTTATGAATGAGGTGATTTTCTTCATCCTTTGTGGTCAGGAAGTATACTGCTCCAAAAATAGACCTGACCACACTACTAGGATTGTGTTCATGTCTGACAATTTATATAAAGTATTTAGTTATAGTGTTAAAGTAAAACTCCACATTTTGTTAAAGAAAAAAAAACACAATCTCAGGTCACCTACGTGCATTGCAAGAATTTTAGAAAATATTCTAGATCCTTTTTGTACTCCTATTCTAAAGACGCTTTGCCAGCTTTCCCTGGGCTGGTATGTGGAAGGGTTCTTTATTTTCTCTAATCACACAATCTGGCTCAATCTGTCCTTGATATTAAAAAAAAAAAAAAAAACTCCAGACCTGGTATCACTTTAGTCCATCTTGAACTAAAAATGTCTTCCCAAAAATGAAAATGCTATGGCCGGGGTACCTATAATTTACTCTTTTTGAAGCCTGCTGAGAAAGCAGTGATTCAGTCAGCTTAGGCTGGGATGTCTGAAAAATCCTGTACATAAATTACTATTGACTTGGTTGCAAGGAAGAAAAATGTAAGTTTCCTAATCATACAGTATAGGACACAAATTCCTCTAAATTTTAACCTTGGATCATATGGTACCATCTGCAGCTAAGCACACTGCCTTTTTTTGCTAGTGTACTTATGTTGGTGATGGATGGACCTCTTTCTGTCCTCTAATGTTGCCTTCAACACTGAACACTGCACCCCCCCTTGGTACAGCAGTGCAACACAGTGCAGTTAGCTACAGAGTGCTCTGCAAGTTCAGAACAGTGGTGATCCAAATCCCAGCAGTTTCAGTTCCTGAAAACCCTCCCCACTGAGAAATGGATATGCCCTCTTGAAGTGGATGAAAAGGGGGAGTTTCCACCTACTGGTATTTTCCATAAGAAGGTACCCGTATCCAGGTGTGGTGAGTCCAGGGCTTTGCCCATTTCCTTGATGAGTTCCCCACCAACCCCTCTCACTGCCAGCCCCCCCTCTCAACCTGGGGCTAGTTACTAGACACTGGGCCCCTATCTTGGGTACAAGGGTTGGTGACGAGTATACTTTAGGCCAGGAGTGGTGTGTTGCAGGGTGGCTGATACACTTTTAAAAAGAGTGTTGGGTCATAGCCTATAGTGCATCACTTTAAATAGTTGTGGCGTGATAAAGAGATTTTGGTGGAAGTCCTATGACACATTTGAATGTGCGATGACCTGTTCGGTATCTATGCATAGTGCCAGCCTCTGTAGGAGGTACATGCTCTCTCCCTGGCTCCTGGCATCATTTTGAGTGCATTCCTCTGCTTTAGACAAGCATACTACAGCAGCTCCAGCAGCTAACTTGCTCCAAATTGTGGCTCAGGTCTCTGCATCAGCCTTTACTGGGTTATCCTGCAGTCTTG